TGTGTATAAATCTTTCGAGATCTCGTCTCGGAGTGCAACACTAAGCCAGCACAGAGGCGTAGGCTGATGAAAACTGACATGAAAATGTCAAAAAAAAAAATTTCTAAACAAGTTTGCTCCTACAATTTGGATACTTCCCAGGGGGTTGGGATCAGCACATCCAGAATGATGTGACAGCAGCAATCAAGTGACCAGATACAAATAAATACGGTCACTCAAACCCGAGCTATTTTGAGAGTACTATTTCTTATTAGTGCGCAATCTGTTGTGGAAAAAATGAGGATGCGCAATCTACTAGCGAAAAGATGAGAATGTCAAATAAATGAGGCGTTTATCACTATTTAACCCATAGCGGGGAGAGAAGATGTGGATTCGTACCTTTTCCATAAGTATTTGCGTGTATGTGGATGCAACCAACCCTAAATAGAATTTGAACTCTACGATTTTTCATTCAGTGCCGTTATCGATTACACCACCCGCACATCCAAGCTTACAGTATCTGGTATTCCGAAGGGGTCAGACAAGAACCGGTATTTCTACCTCATTCAGAAGGAGATGTATTATTGTAAATTTGATTTCTGTACCACGTCTTTTGTTGTGTTGATCGCTTTTATGACACGTGCCTTTATATGAGAAAGTCGTGCTTATAGCCAACAAGAAAAACAACTTATTAAATAATAGACATAATTTGTCTGTAACAAAACTCGTTTAAACTTGTTTAAACGAATATTTGTTGTCTGGATATATCAAACATTCACAGGCGCGCGTACACATACACACACACACAAAAGCACACATACACATATCACAATCACGAGTAACCCATCAGGATCGTAGGGGAACCACACGCACTGCAGACCCAGTAGAATTGAGGTGTTTTTGGCAAGATAGTTTGATGGAATCCATTTCTCTCCGGACTTTTTTGAATGCAGAATTAACTTTCTCCAACACAGGTTGCAGTCCAAGGCTATAGAAACCAGTCTGCCCTTCTATTTACTCAGAAAAGATGGATTCATGCTTTTCCCACCGTAAATTAATATAGTGTACTCGACTGGAATTCGAACTCGTCTACCTGATTCCTCAACCCAAAACAATAACCATTACCCTTATATATATATATATATATATATATATATATATGTGTGTGTGTGTGTGTGTGTGTGTGTGCGTGTACACACATATATATATATATATATATATATATATATATATATATATATATATATATATATATATATATATGTGTGTGTGTGTGTGTGTATGTGAAAATATATAGAAAATAGGAAAGAATTCGTTAGGTAAATAATCCAAAGTTCTTTAGTATTTTTGCTATTATTTTTAAAAAATAGTGCTCGATACAAAAGTAGAACATAAATATAATTATTTATTTAAAAACATGATTCCAACGCGCTACATAAGAGGTCTCATGTTTCAAAACAAGAGCCGAAAACTTCAAAATATTTATTTGAATTAAATTGAATTAGAGTACTGTTGTGGTACGATACACCTAATTTACATAAGTGGAGTACCGACCATATAAATATGGGTTGGTACCGGAAGACGGGGGAAGATTAAGAGATCGAATAGAGAGACTCTGCCCGACTGCGATTTAGTCAACCCATTATGCAGGAACAGTCTTCCCAAGAATATACCAAAACTAACTGTAAATATTGTGTACCTTTTCCTTGTTTCAATACATTTTGTTAACGTACATTTTGTGTTGTATTATTATTATTCCATGCTTATCCAAGTTTCAACAAGTACCAAGCTCTGTCCCATCTTCAAGCGAAATTTTTTTTTTGAATCTTTTTGGAAATTTTTTTTTTTAATCTTTTCCCAAAAAAATTTCGCTTGAAGATGGAACATGTGTGTGCATATATATATATATATATATATATATATATATATATATATATATATATATATATATATATATATATATAATCACTTCCAACCGATGACATGGCCCAAGAGATTGAATTTGATTATAAATCGTGTAAACGCCAATAAAATTTGGATGGGAAGAAACTGTTGCATCACAAGAAACTGCGAAAGCAATCGGCCCGAAAAGAATATATTTTAAGACATTTTTTTGTTTATACATTCTTTTTTATAGATACAAATATATAAGCGAATGTTCTGTTTGCTAATAAACAATATTAACAACATTTACCAGCCTGAAAGTCCGAGAAATTGTCATAGAATAGATGGCTAATATACAAAGGCACGTCAAGCTAAATGACGGTTCCGTATAGGATGCAGGTTCGAATCCTGTCAAAGGACGAATATTTTCTATGAAAATTTCTCGGACATTCAGGCCGGTAAATGTTATTTAATACTGTTTATTATAAACAGAGCATTTACTAAAAATACTTGTATCTATAAAAAGAATGTTAAAACATAAAATATATATATATATATATATATATATATATATATATATATATATATATATATCACACATGGAGTACTGGTACCAATAAAACAGTGTTCGAGGTAACAGAGATATTAAATTTATATTAATAAAAATACTACATATTATCCCTCACGAGTAGCACGATTTGGAGTTTTATGCATAACGCAATCTTCAGATGCTGAGTGTAGACTGTTAAGCAATTTGCATAATAATAAAAAATATCTAGTTAACGTTATGTTGATACACCCCATATAATACGGTGATTAGAGTTTTTAATTTAAAATATATTCAGCATTCAAAATAGACAGGATTTTTAGTCTATATACAAAAAAAAATAATTGCTATAGTTCTGTATATTGATTTTATATTAAGCCTAAAGGAAGGTTACTGTGTTATTTGTCAATTATTTTATAAAATTTTAGTTAAAACCTAAGAAAGAGTAAGATTTTAAATCCAGTCTATTTTAAATGCAAAATTTACTTCTTAATTGAAAAACTACAATCCCTGTATAATACAGACTCTGCTAACATTAAGTTAACCAGATATTTTCATCAAAATTTATATTGCCTGTCAGTCTTCACTCAGCACCTGAAGATTGAGCTGTGCATGAATCTCCGAGTTTTGCTAGCGGTGAAAGATTTTTTGGACTTTATTGTTTATTTCTCGTCTCGTTGATAAAGAACACTGGCGTGTCCAAAAATGTTAACTTTAAAATCTTTCTCCTCATGCTTCGGTTTAGACAAAATGTCTAAAATAAATATCACCAGTCTTGTTGACAATATTTTTTTTATCATTTTGTATTTTTATTACTCGAATTTCATTAACCGGCCTATTAAATCTAAACACACCGAAGTGGTTTCATGCCTTCGTTTGTTCTCTAACTTTTAAATCCTCTTTCCTCCTCCCTCCAACAATTCGTGAGGTTTATGTCCTGTTCTTTTTAATGGAGATCTTGGTCTCATTTCATCTTCTTCTGTGTCTGTGTCACTCCCTTTATCAGTCACAGGCTCGTATTCTATTGCAATTTCCTGATCTGAAGAACTCACCTTTTCTTCTCTGTCAAAGTCTTCTTCCATCACAATTTCTTCCTCTTCACTTCTGGGTCTTAATTAGTCAGAATGGGCCATTGGACTTTTTTCCTTTCTTTGATGTAATGTCTGTGTTATATCCCCTTCGCATGATGAAATTCTCTCTCTATCTCTATCTCTCTCTCTCTCTATCTCTATCTCTCTCTCTCTCTCTCTGATAGTCACCCCGGTCTTTTGACAGACAGGCAGTTTGGTTGAATATTGGCGACAACGGATTATCTTTACATGATAGGAAAGACCCACCACCTCGACTCCTACTTGGGGAGGAGTTAAAGTAAGAAAGATATATTTCAAATCAAATGTATTTACTGGTTTAAAACGAACCTTCTAACTTGGGGTTTGTTTGGGGGGAGGGACATTCTATCATCTACTCTTAAAATATACTAAACTACAATAGAAATAGATTATCACTCTAAAGATTATGGAGATTGTTGTAGGTGTGAGGGATTTTAGAAGAAAGTGAAATAGCAGTTGACAGTGTCGCTCAAAATGGGTTTAAGTATTTTAAAGAGGATGACTTGTCTCTTGGAATGCAGATAGACGAAAACCCAAATCATCAAAACATACTATATGTAGAATTAAAAAATAATTAACATGACCCTCCAAGATGTTTCTTCATTTTTTTTTTGCTATTGTTTACTCAATACATAGCCCAAGATCCACACAGAGTAGAGGGTTAATGAATAAGATTGTTGAACTTAGATTTGAAGAAGTTAAGATTATAGTAGTCGAGGAAGCTTCCCCCTGGAAGTCTGCTTCACAAAACGACACTTCCGAGAAAAAAAGCTGTCTGAATGGAACTTCCTCCTTACTAATGGTATACAAACAGGTCGAAGATGAGTTGGCGCACCATGTACGCGCCATGGCAGGTACTAGCTGTGAAGGTCTGAAGTAGTGGGTATAAGAAACGTAATTCGTATGAACATTTGCCATGGATATATCGATAGAGTATCGAGCGGTAAGCAACGTTTTGATAGTGAGAAAAGGCGTTGCAGAGTAGAAAATAACTCATCAGCCCCAAGGCCGCGAAATCGCTTTTAAACTTTGTCAAGGCCATTATGGCTTTCCAAATATTGGGTTAGTGCACGATTATCAGGCGTTTTTGTAGGCGAGTTATTTGTTAATAAATATTGCTGTTTTGTTTACTTATGTCTTCCAAGCAAATATGAAGCAGTTATTGAAATAGATGGTACTTATGCCCCGGGATAATCATTTACAAATGTTAATGTTGAATTGTTATGTTTTTTTTTAATAATAAATATCGTTTAAAAAACGCCTGATAATTATGCACCAACCTAATAGAATAAGAATATAATTTCTTGTTTACTTAGAGATTTCAAACCAGAATTCTCTGACTTGGTACTTTCATTTTATTTCAGACAGTGGATGTTCCAATCTTTGTCAGCTTTAGGCTATATCTTGTAATCTGCAATTGTTTAAACAATTCTCCTCTTTTTACTGATCCAAGCGACAACAATTTATCTGCATCAACGGCGATGTCTATCTGGCTCAATTTGACTGCCTTCACGGTACAATCGAGACGAAAAGACGTTTCCCAACACGATAATGCGCGTTCGCATGTTGAGCGTCGTGTTGTCGAATGTATCGCCAATAATGGCTGGGAACTGCTTCCATATCCGTCATATTCTCCCACAGAAGCGCCTACGGACGACCACGTCAATCGATCGCTGAAAAATTGGCAGGTGAACAATGTTTATGCCAATTTGGATAACTTGGTGGCCGATTTCAAAGCAGGGATTTTCTCCAAGAACCGTGACGTCTTTGCCCGTGGAATCGACCGTCTTCGAAGCAAATGGGAAGCAGTTATTGAAGTAGATGGTGTCTACGCTCCGGAATAAGCATTTAAAAATGTTTATATTGAATTGTTAGGTTTCTTTTTTCATAATAAATATCGTTTAAAAAACGCTTGATAATTATGCACCAACCCAATATTTATTTCTTTGAATTGCTATGACTTCCTAGGACCTATAGGTGATCTCAATAAACTCATGAAACTCGCCGATTTTACTTTGGGCGCTGATAACCGAAATTCTAGCCACACATCCATGTACACCATTACATAAGCTTAGACAAAAATTAAAATACTTTTATATCCTAATACAAACAAAAACTTTACTATAGGAAACAGAGTCAAACAATTGTGATTTTTAATATTCTTAGTATGCTGGTTATTGCGGAGACATATGACGTCAATAGCATGTAGAATCTCACACGTAATGAAAAGCAGAACTCATAGAAAGTCTACGGCGTCGCTCGTCAGAGTGTTTTTATACACGGATTACGTGATTTTACATGATCTATTAGAATAGGTTTTTTTCCGCAGGTAACTGAATGTTTAGCACAAGCCATTAAAGATTTCATCTCCCTTTCTATGCAAATAAAATCCGAAGAGATTTCTAAAAATTACCGAATTTTTCTTGACAGCCAGCACGAAAATCATTGACCCTGTGTTGCTAAAAGCTCGTTGTATACCATTTGCGAAGATGAATTAATAGTTTTTTTTTTTTTCAAAGATTCCCCTGTTTGGCAAAGTGTGGACAGAACCAAATAAAAATAACAAAAATTATCATCTCTTCGAGGATACCACCAAGGGCTAGTGCAGAAAGTTAGCATGAGAGTGACATGAAAATATACGTACCTGGCACAAGTAATGGAACATCAAATCGTCTCGTTTCGTCTCTGTCTTCGGGCAGAGCACAACTCAGTTGTGTCTCTGTCCGCAGACAGAGTGCATCTGGGGAAAAAAATACCGAGACGTGGTTGGTCCATGGCAGTACTTCTCATTGCACTAGAGAGGAAGGATAGATAGCAATATCGATACCAGCGCAACCGACGGCTGCAGAGACTGGGCAGTTTTCGACCCTGGTCCGAGGGTACGAGGCTCGGGTGCCCCGCATAAAGCTCGAATGATTGTCACATCCCATCGCCGACATTTGTGCCTGCAAGGCTATCAGTCAGTTATGGGCCATGCGTGATACACGCTTAGGCGATCATTTATCTTTCGATACATGACTGACGAGGCAGATTTTTCCTGCAGTAGATTTGTTTCTGCGGTAGAAACCGGTCTGTCTTTGATATTTATCCATAGCTGGGGGGAGAAGTAGAGGATTCATACTTTTCCCAAGGGTATTAGCACGTAAGTGAATGTAATGGATTTGACTGGAAAGTCAGTCTATCAGTTACGTGCCACGCGTGATACACGCTTAAGCGATCATCTGACAAGGCAGATTTTTTCCCGCAGTAGGCTGCCATTTCTTTCTGCGGTAGACCGGTTGCCATCCAAGGCTATAGAACCCGGTCTGTCCTGCTATTTACACATAGCTGGAGGTGAGAAGAAGCGGATACATACCTTTCTCAAGGGTATTACTGGAATTCGAACTCGGCTCTCCGATTCCTTAATCCGAGCCGCTAACCATTACTCCACCGTGCCTCTGAATTTGGTTATCCTTTGGTTATTCCGAATCTTTTCAGAGCCAATATTTAGCCAAAATCTTCATCAGATGATGTCTCTTGATTTTTTCCCGCAGTAGGTTGTCATTTCTTTCTGCGGTAGTCAATATCATAAGTGTCAGTTATGTGCCATACGTGATACACGCTTAGGCGATCATGTATCTCTCGATGCATGACTGACGAGACAGATTTTTTCCCGCAGTCGGTTGCCATTTCTTTCTGCAGGAATCAATATCAGAAGTGGAAGTCTTATCAGTTATGTGCCATAAGTGATACACGCTGAGGCGATCATGTATGTCTCGATACATAACTGACGAGGCAGATTTCTCCCGCAGTAGGTTGCCATTTCTCTCTGCGGTAGACCAGTTGCCATCCAAGGCTCTATGTAACCGATTCTCTTTGAAACAATAGATACCAATCTTCTTATCAAGGCGCGAAATAAATGTCGTATTAAATGGCCACTCTTCTAGATCTAGGTCAAGGTTCTTCCTAATTTTCGTCAACAACCGTCACGATGTCATCAGTTCTTAACTCGGTACCTTTGCTGATGACACAACTTTTTACTCCTGTCGTAATGGTAAGTCTGATCGGCTTGATATGGACAAATTGGCAGCTGACTTCAAGCAGTCGGCTGTTAACTGGGGCAAGGGATGTCTTGTTAATTTTAACGCCTCAATAATGAAACAGGTCTATTTCAATCGTGTAAGAGATGCTAGCCTCCAGAAAAGTGACTCATTGCGCCTTCTAGGGCAAATATTTTCCGCTGACATGAAGTGGAAAGATTATATTGAATCAATTGCTAGGTCTACTGCTAGGAAAGTTGGTTTATTTAATCATTTTTTTCTCGAAAGAATCTACTTTACACATTTATAAGTCGACCATTCGTCTATGCACTGAATGTTGGTCTCACATCTTGTCTGGTACTTCTGCTATGTATTTAGAGATTCTTGATAAAATACAAATGATTCTGCAATTTTATTGGCATCACGGCATCAGTCGCTTGCCAACTAGGAAGGATTACTGAATGAGGAATAACCAAAACGAAGGTTGAAAATGAAATGATAATGTTTATAACAACAACGAAATACAATACTCGCCAGCGGCATAAAGTAGGTAAACCACTGCTAGCAGTGAACTATTTAGACAGCATATTAACCCCACTTACAATAGTGTCCAACGTATTTATGAGGATTGGGACATAACCATTAGTATTCATAGGTACCGTATATAACACTATCTATCTGTCTTAGTATATGCATATTTATCTATCTATCTATCTCAGTCTACTCATATCTATCTATCTATGAAAATTTCTCCGATTTAATCGGTAGAGAAGACAATATTATGAATAAAAATGACAATAGGAAAATCTGGTAATTGCTGACGCGTTTCGTCCAATCTAAATCATGAAAACAGATACATAATATCCGACCAATGCCACGTCCACGATCCAGAATAACCTATCCATCTAAATAATCTTGAAATAGTCACAAACACCTCCAAAACCATTATAGGAAGATCTTCAAACAATAATGAATGAGGCATTTATAAAATAAATTGCCAAAACTGCTCCTCAATATATTGGAAAACGGAGTTTGAAAAAACGCATATATGAGCACAAAAAGAGACCTCACAAAAAACAACTTAGCTAATGCAATAGTAAAATAGAAATAAATACAACCATAATTTTATAACATAAAAAAGAAAATCACTCACTCAATAGAAAATTATCCAAATATTAATTTACGCCCAGGCTTTTTCCCTATTTCACCTTTCTTAACAAAATTAATGCTCTTACAAACAAACATGCAGTAAAATCGAAAGAAAATGGTTGAAACATCAACACAGATATAATGACAATATTCTACGTGACAATCTCTGACGTTATTTCTCATTTAAAAAATATGAAAATAGTTTCTCTACATTCCAGTTGCTAGGTACATTCTGTTTTTGTTTTTATTAGAATTTAATTTATTTTCCCCACATTGGACGAAACGCGTCAGCAATTACCAGTTTTCCCTATCTATCTATCTATCTATCTATCTATCTATTGAGGAAGGGTCACTGAATGAGGAATGATCAAAACGGAGGTTGGAAAAGAAATGGTAATCTTTTATAACATCAACAAAAATACAATACTCGCCAGCGGCGTGAAGTAGGTAAACCCCTGCTAGTGGTGGACTACATAGACAGAATATTACCCCCACTTACAATAGTGTCCAACGTATTCATGAGGATTGGGGCATAGCCATTAGTGTTCATAGGTACAGTATATAACACCAACCGTCACTTTCCCATGCCCTTTTCTATAAATAGGAGACTTGTAAGGAGACTTTATTTTGCCACCAATCTAGTCAGTCAGTTAAGTGCCATCACGTGGTACTCGCTTTTGGCAATCATGGCCCTTTCGTTTCACAACTGACTCGGCAGAAGATTTTCCAGCAGTTGGTTGCCGTTTCTTTCTGCGGTAGATCGGTTGCCAGCCAAGGCTACAGGGTACAATCTCTCCTGCTGTTCAGCCTATACTTGAGTGAAGTGGAGGTGAATTTATATCTTACCAAAATGAATGTAACGACTCGCGAATACCCTTGGGAAAGGTATTTAGTACTAGGTTTAAATGTAGTACTAAATTGGTGGCAAGACTTCATCATTTTACAGGTGAAATGTCTAAATGTAACCGTATGTTCTATACTGAGAGTTTCTTCAGTCAGATCTCTTGCTTGTAGAAATCTCTTCTGGCTTCTTTACAGTCAAATTTAATCTTCAAATGTTTAAATGCAATGTTAATCGTTATCTTCTGTCTTTTTATTTCCTGTTCTTTTATTCTTCTCTCTTATTAATATATTTTTTATTTTTCTCATATTTTCACACATTCAGTAACCCCTGGCGTCTTAGCGGTTTTATTCCCTTACTTGGTGTGAAATATTTTTTTTTAAAGTCTCACAAATTCGAATGGTATAAGCTTCTAGAAAGATAGGTTCTTGTACCAGACTAATTTAAGCTGAGGAAATACAAAATATAAACCATTGTTCATAATCTACTGGTGCGGGATTTTCAGAAAAGACAGAATCCATATCAAAGGCCTGTGATAACTGATCGCTCTGAATCGAAACATAACAGGTGTTATCATCTGTTTCTTATAAGAAGCATTCGAATCGTTGACAACATGATGTCTATGTTTTGCGAATGGATACCGGTCTTGTAATTACGTCTACCAGACTGGCGGGCACATAAAATATATTTTATGAAAAGTATTCAAATGTTACATTGTCTGATGTATCAGTATTATGGAAAAGGGACTGAACACCTATTCAGTTTCCCAGCTCAAATATCGAACACTTCCTTTTATGACATATTAGCCAGTTTTGAATCTTCCTTGAGATAAGTACACACCCTCCTCTGCGGATGACGGGTCCAAATCATGAAGGAAATTAAAGATGCGACGAGGCAACTGATGGCGATCCCAAAATAGTATTTTCAGAAGTGAAAAAGATAAATATACGTGGTCTAAGTTGAAGCGGGTGAAAACGCCGTTGCCCTAGGTAGGCTATTTATTCGTTAATGGCTGGCTTATTTTTAGACATCGTATCAAAACATTCTTCTTTTAAGTTCTCATGTATGATAACTCTCTGGCAGTTTACACCATAACTTAGTTTGTTATTGTGTAAATCTAATGCGTTGTCTGAAAAAAATATATCTGGTTTCAAAATGGCCTCCTTTCTCTTTTATTTGGGTTGCTATGGTAACAGACCGACATCGTAAAGATCTTAGCTACAATATCGAGTTCATCATTACAAATAAAGCTAAACCGAAATGAAAAGGGAAAAAATGATTTTAAACCACTGTGAACTGCATCCATACACCACCTGACGTTTTTTCATTATGTAGATTTATATAAATACTGAATATTGTGGCCCTTATTATTAATAACCGGCCGCCATGTTCAGCGAAGCGCTTATCACTAACAAGATCGATATCAAAGACACTCATGTTTAAAATATGAATGCGTTTGAACGGTCTTTGGAAAACAATTCTATTCGCTTTTGCTTGATATGGGTGAGAGAATGAGGCCCTTATATCTAGTTTTCTCTCTATTATGTTGAAGCCAAGCACTCCCTTTTTGGAATTGTCTTACTCTCTGTCTTTCAGTATCCATCTGTTTTCCTCTTGTGAGGCTCTTCCTTCATGTGCTAGTCACGAGACTGGGGCGCGACGACTAAGTAAATAATTACTAAGGAGGAGAACTCGTCTTACATATTTGTCTCAGCGATAAAGAAAATAACACGATCTATATGTATGCATATGTGTGTGTTAAACCACTATCTATCTATCTATCTATCTATCTATCTATCTATCTATCTATCTATCTATCTCAGTCTTTTTCTATCTATCTATCTATCTATCTATCTATCTATCTTCCTGTGTTCATATCTATCAGTCTCAACCTGTTCATCACTATTTCAGTTTATTCATATCTATCTATCTATCTATCTATCTATCTATCTATCTATAACTTTGTGTGTTCATATCTATCTTTCATCCTTTTCACAACTCAGTTTATTCATCTCTCTGTTTGTCTCTGCCTCTCTCTCTCTCTCTCTATCTTCCTGCGTTCATATCTATCTGTCTCACACTTTTCATAACTATCTCAATTTATTCATATCTATCTATCTATCTATCTATCTATCTATCTATCTATCTATCTATCTATCTATCTATCTATGTTAGTTTGTTCATAACTATTTGTTTATTCATATCTATCTCAGTTTATTTCTTATCTATCTATCTATCTATCTATCTATCTATCGTAGTCTGTTCATAATTATTAGAAAAATCTATCTTTCGAACTCTCTGTCTCTCTCTCTCTCTCTCTCTCTCTCTCTATATATATATATATATATATATATATATATATATGCTCTTATTAAACCTTTACAAAAACAAAAGATTTAGTGTTGACAACATAACGGTTATCAGGGCAACTCGGCTGGTGGATAATGAGCTCGTCTGTTTAACTATTACTGGATGTTTCATAACTGTGTCGATGTGCCAAAGTAACATAAAACTTATCAACTTTTTTGCCAGTATCAGTGACAGTATTTACGTAATTAGCAAAGGTCTGAATCCACTTCAACCTGATTTCTGACTCGTAACCATACACCATAGCGGAAGATTTCAACTATGACATGTCTGAGTGCAAAACCGAAAAAAAATTTAATTTTTAATTTATTTTACTTTTCACGCAGAAATATCTAAATACGAACTCTCTTTCTCTACATACATTATATATATAGATATATAAAAGTGAATATTGTCAACACTCAGATGTGACAGGCTGTTTCATGCTGGACACAATCGTCAGGCCGCCGCCGTGTTGACTTCAATGTTCACTTTTATATTTATATTTACATACACTCTTTCTCAGATATTGAACACGTTATCCAATAAGTATAGCACTCTTTAAAACTATATTTCCATATATATATATATATATATATATATATATATATATATATATATATATATATATATATATATATGCAGATATATATATATATATATATATATATATATATATATATATATATACTGGCTCCTGAAAAATCAATTTCAGTTGAGCTCTCTAGGGAGGAGGTGTGGGTTGGTAAACAGTGACTATTATAGCTATATATAGTGAAACTCTTCGCAAAAGCGAATTGAGTCACTATCGGTCACTGGGCGTGATTCTAAAATAAATACGCTAAAATCCACCTTCATCCCTACCGTGAGTCGATGTTAGAATCTCCGACTGACACCAATTCAGTCGGGTTTCGATCCTAGCTAAAGGCAACCGGATGTCTAGCCACACTGATGAGCTGTGAAACAGCGAAACAGTCTCTGTGGATGACTTTATATATATATATATATATATATATATATATATATATATATATATATATATATTGAACAATAAAAAAATATTAAAAAATTGAAATCTTCAGACACACTGGGTTGTATATTAATATTCTTTCGTTTTTATTATTTCAGTTAGATTACTCGACTAGTTTCGGCCAACATCCCCATATATATATATATATATATATATATATATATATATATATATATATATATATATATAACAGACCTACTAAACAAAATTAATCACATACAAATAGTGCCAGAAAATGCTATTCAAGTGACTATGGACGTAAGATCACTTTATTCAAACTTTAAAGACATCGAAGAACTAACCGCCCTTAAGTAAACACTTAGTAAAAGAAGAAAACAAGAATCCCCACCCCCCCCCCCACAGAAGTTATCATAAAACTCATGGAGCATATTCTTACATCGAATACTTTCAACTTCACTGGAACACACTACGTTCAAGTAAGAGGCTGTGCCATGGGCATCATTGCAATTCCATAATATGCTACAATATTCATGGGAAAATTTGAGGAGATCCATATCTATCTTCTCATCAGTAGCGACTGCGTATTCTATGCAAGATATATCGATGATATATTCTTTGTATACACAGACAGTGACGACAAACTTAGCCAATCCTCATGACCCTAAACACAGTGAATGAATCAATTAAGTTTGTCTATGAAAATTCCACAAGATCGGTAACATTTTAAGACACTCGCATTTACATAGATGAGAACAGAAAACTACAAATGACACTACACACTAAAATCGCCGACACCCACAACTATCTAAACTTTAAATCTTCCCCCGCTAAACCCCTCAAGGAGAACTTTTCCTATTCACAAGCACTTAGACTCAGAAGGATATGTTCTACCAATGAAGAACTAAATAAAATATAAACATCAATTCACAACACGTGGCTATAAACAACACCTAATCAAGGAACAAATAAATAAAGCAATTTCCACACCTAGAGAAGACACTCTAATGTAAAAGCTTAAAAATAAACCCAGCCGCATCCATCTAGTAACCACTTTCAACCCCACTCTGCCTCCATTATTCCAGATAATCAAAAGTCGCTAGGAAATACTACATCTCAAACCAAACCTAAAAAAATTGTTTGAGTAACCCGGCATTCTTGCATATTGTAGGCCTAAGGATCTAAAGAAAATTATAGGTAGTTACCACATTTCAGGGGGCAAGGTAATCCGTAATAAACCAAAAACAAAAATAACAGGATTTTCCCAACAATGTAACAACAAAAGGAGCTTATGCTGTAACCACATTAGACACACCAATTCGTTCACTAGCTCAGTTACTAAATCTACTTTCAAAATCTACCACGACTCTAACTGTAGAAGTCATATCATAATTTACCTCCATTTATCTGACATAGTGCAAATTCTATTGCACTATGTCAGAAACAATATGTAGGAAAATTTAAATGGTCCTTTCACTAAAGAGTTAATAATTATCGCAATCGAATTAAGTCGACTCCCCATGAAACATTATTACCTGTAGAAAATTTCCGCTTTCCTGACGAACAAAAAGAATCCAAAAAATATATTGTTCTACCTACCAACTCTATCGCAAAGATTTTCTCTAAACACATGAAATTTGTCACAATTAAGTCCAATAAAACAATAAAAGACTTAATACAAAACAAAATGGTAAGCTAAAACTTGAAGGAGGGATTTATTCTATTACCTGTAATAATTGCAACAACAAATACATAGGAGAAACCTCAAGAAATTTAAATAAAAGATTATATGAGCACGAAAGGGATATTTTACAAAACATGTCTATGGAGGTTGCCGAGTAAGGCTCTAGACCTCTTCCAGGCTCACGGTGTGTTAATGTAGAAAATAGGAATCATACTGGGAAGGTTAAAATCTTTGTCAATAACATACAATCCTTGTAAAAAAAAATTAAATTTGTAATTCTCTTATTAATCATTTAATCAGAAATTCTGATGATTGTAAGAATAAGTTGTTCATTTGACAAAGGAATCTTTATCCCGGTGTGCAGTGTAAAATATCCACCTTTGTGTGTGGATGTATATTTAAACTTTATTTTTTATTAATTTCAACTAAATTAAGTGATCTAATTTTATGTTAATATTACTTTGATTTCAACTCTTGGGATAACCTTAAGGGAAGCTTTAAAATTTATTAATTCTTTCTTGGCCTGGAAGGGGTCTAGAGGCTTTTTTGGCAACCTTCCTGAAGAGAGTTTCTCGATAAAAATGATCAGCCTCCTTTGCTGTAAACAGTTTAATAGGGATGGATAGATTCACCTATCAACCGATCAGTATCCCTTTCATGTTTATTGAGCAGCAGTAGAGGTTTGTCCATTGTTTCTTGTTTAGGATATAATTTACCGGTTGTTTCTTCCAGGGTCAAAATGATTTAATGTAAATTTGCAGATTATGCCCCGCAAACCTTTCTTATTATTTTGGAATTAATCAGGCAATTTCACACCAGAATAGGAATTTTCATTACAATTGGTTTCCGGGGCTTAATCCGAAAATTTACTCACAATTCTGTCCCTTTGGCGGTTCGGGTGACGCTGTAGTATCTATTGCTATTGCTTTTGAGTCGTCTATCATACAGCAATCTATTATTCACTAGACTTTTTTCAGCATACTGACTGGGATTTCTTTCGTGACATTATTCGAGACGTTCCTTGAATTGATATTCTGAACCTTCCTATTGAGAATTTTGCCACAGATTTAAACCGGCATTGATACTGTTGTACGTTCTCGCAAATATCAGTTGAAACGACAATCTTCCCCTTAGTTCACATCAGCTTGTCCAACCGCTATAGTCCATAGGAATCACTTTTCCAGGTTTTTTTCCCCCGTGATAATTCCGGTCACAACAGATGTATGTGATTGTTCGAAATAATTTTAAACTTATCCTCAAAGAGGTTAATTCTTTGTTTGCTGATACAATGAGGCACTAACAAATTTGTTTCACGTGAATACTGGCGGCTCTGTAATAGTGTGTTAAATGAGAGAAAGTCTCCTTTCTTACTTCTCTTCACTAAATTTGAGCTGTTAACATCTTCCGTTGATAAAGCAAAATGCTTTTCCCGTAAATTCTACTCTTGATTTATCTAGAGAGTACCTTTGCTCTTAGAACTGAGTCTGTATTGAGTGATATGTATATAACTCCGTTCATGGATTCTACTACCATTTCTAAAGTGGATTCTAACAAGGCATGTGGACTTGATGCCATGTCTGCAAATGTCCTTAAGAAATGTGTTCCTTAACTCTCTACGATTTTCTAAACTCTAGAACAAATGCCTGGCTGCTAATTCTTTTACTGCTTGTTGGAAATCCACTTCTGTAATTCCGGTCTTTAAGAACTCTGGCCAACCATCTGATTCTCCTATCGAGCTATTAGCCTCCTACCTTTTTTGGTAAATTATTAGAGGCTCTAATTAACTCTGAATTGGTTAAATATATCACATCTCAGTTCTTTCAGATAAACAATATGGCTTTCAGTTTTCTGTGTCAATTGCTGATGTGTTAACGATTATTTCTGAAAAAGTCTGTCAAGCTTTAAAAGAATGGTGAAGCTAGGGATGTTGCTTTAGATATCTCGAAGTCATCTGACAGGCTTTGGCATGCTAGTTTTCTTCACAAGTTGAAAGGTTATGGTATTTCTGGACGACATCTTTAACAAATTCAGTTTTTCTTATCAAATCATCAAATGAAAGTATTCGTGAATAGCCAATCTTCTAAATCTTTTTGCAGAAATTACAGTGTCTCCTAATTTTGAAGCTAATTTTAAGAGGGTTGCATCATTCACGAGATATAAAATTAGCATATGTATTGCTGGCCCTGGCTCTGCCTTTGACCAAACTATATATCCATTTACTGTAGTTAGATTAGCTTCAACGGTCGCATGATACGCGAGTATACCCGGTAAATATCTATTAATCTTAGCCTTGTAGGAAGATTATGTTACGCCAATGTTCCAAGAGAAGAGCTACCATAAATTTACTGAAAACGATATAAAAAAAAATCTAGTCGATAAAACAGATTTCCGAGTAGTATGATCTTGATCGATTGATTTATTGATCTCGATCGATGTGCAACAGGAAATTTCGTTTTGGAAGGGAAGCAAGAAATTTTTTTTTCAGAATCCAAAATAAAGCTCCGTATCGAAGTTCAATTTAAAAGCTACTTAGTCGACTTCAATTACAAATCAATTATTCAGGAGATCTTATCAATTGACTCTTCATTGTTAATATTGAATAGAAAACTTAATTATTCGAAGTCAATGGAAATTCATCAACCGACGATTTGCTACCACTTTCCTCGTTTAGTGATACCAATGAACGATTCGAGAAACAAAATAAATTTCAAATATTCTACACTCACTTACGCGCTATGAAGTTTGTCTTTATTCACAGTTCGAACTTCTTTCTTTCTATGTGCCGTGTCCTTTCAGGACGTAGGCGATCATGGCTCTCCACCTCCCTCTATCCTTTGCAGCTCTCCGTCCATCTGTTTCCCCCTCCATACCACGTTCTGTCATCCACTTGCTTAAGGCTGCTAGGTATGTCATGCGTTGTTTTTCCTTTGTCTCTCTTTCCCTTTATTCGACTTGTGAGTATCAGATTCTCTAGGCCCTCTGCCACCTCCTCCGGACCACGTTCTGTCATCCACTTGCTTAAGGCCGCTAGGTATGTCATGCGTTGTTTTCCTTTGTTTCTCTTTCCCTTTATTCGACTTGTGAGTATCAGATTCTCTAGGCCCTCCTTCCTCTGCCACCTACTCCGGACCACGTTCTGTCATCCACTTGTTTAAGGCCGCTAGGTATGTCATGCGTTGTTTTCCTTTGTCTCTCTTTCCTTTTATTCGACTTGTGAGTATCAGATTCTCTAGGCCCTACTTCCTCATTCTGTGTCCCAGGAACAGCTGCCTCTTCCTGATGTTAAGTATAAGCCTTGTTTGCATTTTCTCTAAGACCTCATCGTTGCTCACACGCTCAGTCCCCGATATACTTAACATCCTTCTGTAGAATTACATCTCGAGTTTCTTCATCTTTGAGGAAATTATCCAACATTCGCTGCCGTAAAGAAGGACAGATGTCACGTAACAGCTCAGTATTCTTTTCTTTGTTGCCAAAGAAATCCTCCTGTCTCGCAATACTCTGCTCAGCTTTTGGAATACGTCTACGGATCTCAGTGTCGCATTTATTGTCCTCTGTCAGAACCCTTCCCAGATATTTAAACTTCCGCATCTGCTTGATTCTAGTGTTCCTGACCTGCAAATCGCATTTCGGGCTTATCCTTTTACTGATGACCATGCATTCTGTGTTCTTGTAGTTTATGCTTAGTCCTTTCTTCTCACTCTCTGTTGCTATCTTCTGTTGGAGATTTTGTAATTTCTTTTTCGTGTCTGCTATCTTGTTAACATTGTCAGTTCAAACTAATAAACCGTTTAACAAGGATATAATTGAACTCATTATTGCCAAGGCCACTGACACAGAAAACTGATTGCTGCATTCCATGAATAAATCTACCCTCATTTTTGATTTGTGATAAGAAGCGTTCTCCTTCTTAAAATGGCCAGACGAACACGGCTGCACCGTCGTTATAAATGGAAGCACGCAGCCAGACACAATATCTCAGTAGGCTGCCGCAGCGGGACGATATTTATTGACACCAAGGGTTCCAATGTATGCTAAGAAAATATTAACCATGTTATTACACCACCACCACCAGCAGCTTGGATGGTTTGAAGGCAGAATGGATCTTTTGTGCAGTTTACGTTCATATTCTGACCCTATTATCCAAATGTAGTAAGATTTCCCCAGTCTAATATTGCCCTATTTGTGGGATCCTTAGCGAATCGTAACCTCAGTGTCTTATTCTTATCCGCCAGGCGATAAACGTTATGTAGCTTATCTGCTTCAACTTTCGATGTGACGCATGTTTAGAGATATATTCGTTGTAAATAGTTGTTATTCTATCCGCCATTGCTTTTCTATCAACTTGACCCACTCTGTTTATTCTCTGTTATCATCTTTCTTCAACAAGGGATTTACACCCAGAGAATTACTTACCGCTTACTAGTTTTTTTTTCTTTCTTTTTCTTATCATTCTCCGGAAAACCTAGAGATGGTCTTGCGGGAAAATCAGAGATCAGCATTTTTATAAATGCAACTATCAACGGCACATAAGGCACATTTTATATAATAATGCATGAAATGAAATTCAGCAGGTTGAAATGCTTCATCCATTGAATTGCTACCACGTCATTGGGTAATTAGAAATGTGCATAAAAGAGCGATTTTTCACATGTATTTAAGTAACCAGTGAGTATATATATATATATATATATATATATATATATATATATATATATATAGTATGTTAACGATATCAATCTATCCAGTCTATCTAACTATCTCATCTATCATCTATCCAACTATCTCAGCCTCTTCATATCCATCTATATATCTATCTATATATCTGAGTATATATATATATATATATATATATATGATAACGATATCGATCTTTCTCAATCTGCTCATCTATCTATCTATCTCAGCCTGTTCATACCCATCTAAATATCTATCTATATATCTACCTACCTACCTATCTCATCTCGTTCACATGTATCTAATTGACTATCTCAGTCTGGTCATAAATTTCAGACTGTTCATATATATGTAAGTATGCATATCTATATGTATGTATATATCTCAGTATGTTCATATCTATCTATCTATCTATCTCTTCTATCTATCTATCTATCTATCTATTTTATCTGTCTCTGTCTTTTTAAATCTATCTTTTTCAGTTTGTTCATATCTATCTATCTATCTATCTATCTATCTATCTCAGTAGTTCATATCTATCTATTTACCTCTGTCTCTCTTTCTCTATCTATTTATTTATGTATCTTTCTATCTATCTGTTCATATCTATCTATCTATCTATCTATCTATCTATCTATCTGAGTCTGTTCATATCTATCTATCTAGCTCGCTATTTTATCAATTTATCTATATGTCTTGGTCTTTTCATATCTATCTCAGTCTCTTCACATCTATCTATCTATCTATCTATCTATCTATCTATATGTTTTGGGTTTGTTTTCTTTTTGCTAAGCATACTTGTCACTAAAACTCTTGGTGCGTAAGGTTACATATATTCATGCAAGATATGTATACATACATTAGCACACACACACACTCACGCACACACTGACACATATATATATACATACATATATACATATATATATATATATATATATATATATATATATATATATATATATATATACTTTCATATATATATATATATATATACTTGCATAGATAACGTATAACAATTCTTTAAACGTGTCGTATCAAATTAATTGCCGTTATATAGGGCAATTGTTTTAAAATGACTTATTTTACTATTCGATAAATTTGTGTTAACGAACCTCACCAGTGTGTAGGCTATTAACCATTTGTTGGCGATTCAGTAGAAGCTAAACGAACCGGAAAATGAGCCTCATTTCCATTTCGACCTAATCTCCCCAGCATTTTCTATCACCCTCCCCGATCAGACTTTACCTGGAAAATGGCGCTTACAGGATGAGTGAACCATTAAGCCAACACACAAACACGCCTATACCAAAGATGCAACGATTACTGGTTTCAGTAGCGTTCACTTCCGATCGACCAATCGTGGGCTTGTTCCAGTATGACGTCATCCTTTGTCTTGTGTCCTGGCAACTATTTCGATGTTGTTGTGTTATGCCGAGGAGAAGCCGAATCTCACGTCGAACTGACATCATCAGCCACAAAGTAATTACGGACTTTGTTCTTTCTTTGCACTTTCAATCAATTGTTTGCATCATGAATCTATTTAGACTCCATTGTTATTGGAGAACTTGACGAAAATATATTATGTTGGCGTGGTGACAGACCAGCGCGTGGCTTGGGGTTTACTGTCAAATACAGACTTCTTATCCACATTTAAGTCACGTAAAACTCTAACAGTGGCGCCAAAAACTAACCCTGAAGCATATAAGAGTTGAGATATGAAATTTCGATGATGGTTTATACCAATTCAAAAAAACTAAAGCCTTATTTTTATTATCTATTTAGGAAGCAGAAAAGAAAAGAAAAGAAAAGAAGCTTTATCACTTCTCATTAGTCAGAAATCGATAGAGGAAAATAAGTCTTGTGTAGACCGATTAATAAGAAAATATAAATAAAAAAAATCCGCGTGTATCATTATTATAATCAGTAATAAAGGGTGTTTCATTAAGACGGATCAAAGTCAGCAGTAAATAAATCAGTTTTATTGTTGAATATTTATTTATTTCTCTATTGGATCATGTTATTTAAGTCGTGGCAATTATGTAGGAAAAATAATATCGACCAAATGTCCACTAAGGATTCGTCGGCACACCTCCACTCGAAAACTGAGAAGATGTCCTCTTTGTACGATAATGCACACTCTAAATTTTTTATAAGGAATGTTGGATCATTGACGTGGCAGAAAATTATTCTCATCAGAGTCCATCTTCCACATTTACAAATCTTCTATTTGTCCGTGCATTGGATGATATTACCATATCTGGTCTGCTGCCCCCGTTATTCATTTCGAGGTTCTTATCAAAATCCAAAGAAGGGTCTGTAAATGTAATCGATCCTCACTTGGCATCTCGACTTCAGTCACTTTCTCACCGACGTGGCGTGGCTGCCCTCTGTTTTTTCTACAAATATTTTCATGGCAACAGCTCTGACGGCGTTTTTTCCCTCATGCCCCGACTAAATGAATTTGAGCGTACTACTAGATAGGCATCTACGTCCCACCCTTTTACTTAAATAGCTAAATGCAACCACCCCTTCTACTCCATCAGTTCTTTTCTCGCTCTTTCCGCCTCCTTGTTTATTTTTTTCCTTGATAACTATAATCCTTAAACATTTAAATGCAACGTCAATTGCCATGTTCTGTTTTCTTGAATCTTGGTACCTTTTATGTCATTTCCGCAATCCCCACCAACTCTATACTCATACTGTTTCTCTCACTTTCACTCCCTGCAATCTGCGTACTACTGGCATTACCACTTTGTTTTACGGGGAAACGATTAAATAAAAAAAAAAAGAAAAAGTTTTTCTGTGATTGCAGACACGGATGTAATGGAATAATTTTGCAGGATATCTCGTCACCCTTTTCTAATGTACGCTGGGACATACTGGGCAATTCTCTTCCCTAGAAGCTGAATGGTCCTAAATAGGAAGTCAGCTTCCCACTGACATTTAAATAAATAAAATGCAGAAATATTTTTAAAATAGATAAGTCGTTAGGTTTGGTTTATTTTGTTTTACGGCATATCTACCTCAGTGAGCTATTTAATGCCAACAAGATTTTCAGGATAGGTTCGTATGAATAGAATACATATTCCTTGTAGAAATCAGTTTGTAGATCAGGTTTAGCTTATTTGAGTTTACGGCATATCAACCTCAGTGAGCTATTGAATGCCGACAAGATTTTCAGGATAGGTTGGTATGAATAGAATACATATTCTTTGTAAGAAATCAGTTTGCAGTTTAGCTTTGACGTATTTTTGTGAGGAGGGTTTTTGTTGAGAGTCAAATATGTTTCTGATAATATGTTTTTATTTTTCCAAAATGTATTGCTGGCATTTTTACAATAAAAATCTATTTTTATACTTTAATAGTGTTTTGAGCCCACTTTGGTGGGGGTGTCACTATTTTCCCATAGGTGGGACGCTTACAGGAGAAAGGTCCTGGGAACAACAGAAACTAAGACGCTCTTCAAAACTGCCAATCTCCTGATCAGAGGCCTTGCTGCCGGATGTAGTTTATCGTCATACCCAGGACATCACATAGGTCAGAGAGAGAGAGAGAGAGAGAGAGAGAGAGAGAGAGAGAGAGAGAATTAGTAGAAACCAACATTGACTGACACTGGTAGAAATTTTGCCTAGCACCAGTGCATGCTAATCTGAGATCTACGGGACATTGGAACTGTATTTATGGAATTGTGCGATATTTGGGTATTAATGCTAGATTGCAGAACATCCGGTGGAGAGCTGTTATCACAAAATATTTTCTCAATAAGTTCTAATTTCCGTTCTAATTTATTCGTAGAACTGGTCAATAAGTCCCGATGGCATAAGTCGTCATAAGATTAATTTTATACCGTCTAGTACCAAAAGCACCCTAGCAAGCGATTATATCACCCAGAAAGATTTTTACTACATATTACTGTATGTATTGATGAGAGCAATGGATATTTTGAACGTGCAAAACCAAATCGAGGCTTTGGTGGTTTAGCCAGCAATTGTTATTGTACAAAAAAAAAAGAAGGATGACTTCAAGGAAAATTTCAAAAGCCGGTTTTGATAATTTTATTATTAATTTAATTCAATTATTCATTTAGAAAGGCATTAAATCAAATGTCAAAAATGAAAAATGTAAAGGGAAAAGTATTTTATTTGAATTTTATATTACTTTAATTTTAGGATTTAATTTGTCCGTAATACCGAGAGAGACACGGCGGAGTAATGAATTGAGGAATCGGAGAGCCGAGTTTCGGATCCATTGCATTCACTTAGCCCTGGCACAGGTATGGATCCTCTTCTTCTCCTATAGGTAGTAGGAGAGACTGGGTTCTATAGCTTTGGGTGGCAACCGGTCTAGGAGGAAAACTCTGAATACAAAACCGGCCATGGGTTCTATCAGGCTATCTTGTTCAAGAAACACTAGTTCTACAGCTGCTGCAGTACACAGAGTGCCCCTACGACACTAGGAGTTACGGGATATAAAAAAAGAAATGACTGTGTGTATCCTAGCATAAAAAGAGTACTTTAACATTTAGCCACATGTATAAAACTGAGTCATTATAAATTTGGGGAGAGTTCTACATTAAACCACATGGGGGTATTTGAAAGTACGAGAATGAAGAGTAGAACCTTAAATTTCCTTGTAGACTGAGCAGTAGTGTCATATTTTGATAATCACTACAGTCTCTATAATGTTCTGTGTCACTTCAACACCTAGGCGATCATGACCCGCCACATCTTCCTGCCCCTTGTAGCTCTTAATAAATTTTGTTTTTGTCATTACTTCCAGACCCTGTTCTACCATCCATTTACTCAAGCCCATCAAATATACTACGTGTTGCTTTCATCTCTCCCTCTTTCACTCAATCTATCCTGTGAGTATCAGATTTTCCAAGCCGTCCTTCCTCATTACGTACCGCAGAAATTTCAACTCTAAATTGTAGTGAGTTCATAACTCCATCGAAGAGCAGGAATAAAACTCAGGTTAGAAACTGCTATTATTGGCAATAAGTGTAGCATGCTTTGATTGGTTATTCGGTTTGACCAATCCAAAATAGGCACTTGGAGAAGTGGCAGTATCTGCTGATTAAAAAGAATAGAAATCAATAATTGACACGTTCTTCTTCTATGTCCCTTGATTCTTGGGGATATGGGCGATCATAGCTCTCCATAGCTTCCTATCCCCGTTCTACCGTCCATTCACACAAGCGCGTTAAGTAGGTCGCTCGCTGCCCCCCCCCATATCTCCTGTCTTCAGTATGTTCTGTGCTATTCAAAGTGGTGGTCCGCTGACCAGTGCTAGTACGCGAACCATATACGTGTCCACGCCATGCTAAGGAATCATTTGAAGCTTTTTTTTATTACGTTTTATATATTGAATTATTTTTCGCAAAATAAATGGAAGATAAAAAAGCTTTTATTATATTCCTTATATATACCGTTTCATATGTAAATTAATATTACCACGAAATATTACTTATAGTAATTATAGGTACTTGACACATTGAGAAAAAATGCCGGTTCACTATATCAGATAGTTTGAGATGCACTGGGATAGATTATCTGTTGTATCGTCGAGGGGGATGATACACAGAGAAGAATGAGTGCTTAATATATTTATTCAGCACCAGTATCCGGTTTTAACAGATA